TGTAAAATCGTTAATTTTGTCTATGAAATATACAATAGATCCAAATAAATTAGTAAATTTTATGAGCAGCATGTGATCTCTTCCTCATTGCATTGAGAAATTCTTAATTTTTCTTAAACAGAATGCATACGGCATGCAGTTTGGAAACATTGAATATAGGTAAGGCTAACAATTAATGGGCGATTTAAGCTTTTATCAAACCCTAAAGATACCCTATTTTGAAGCATAATATTAAAAGAAGACACAATTCTCTACACAATGAGTACAAAGAAACATATTCGTGTGCATGTTTTCTATGAATTACATCTAAATTTACATGCTCATCAAACATGATAAGGAAGTTCATGCTACTCGTGTAGCTATTTTTTTAAAAATTGGCTTTTTAAAGAGAAGCTCTTCCAAAAATCGGCATTCTAACGTAACTGAAATGTCTTGAGATTAGGTCGCAAGATAATCGACCTTGCAATCCAACTCGCGTAATCCGTTCGAATAGAAAACCCATTTTATACGTTTGGTTGTGATTACATGAGATAGGAAATCTACTGTACTACTGCACTGTACTGCACTACGGCTAAAATAATGACGGTGACTTCATGGTATACTCGATAAATCACAGTTACTCAGAGTTCTCCTCTTCATGGAGAGGGGATCCGTCTGCTGGACTTCTTTGGGGGAGAGGTCATGCGAGGAGTTTGGTTTCCGATCGGGACACCAAGTTATGTTACGCTGCTGATTCAATTTTCTCACAGTGGATTAAGGAGTTCCATATGTCTGCATGACTTAGTTTACGCTATTTGTCTTCTCCAGAACACGTTCAAAATAGAGATATCTGCTTAAGTAGTTCCAAGGCTTCCACCCAGTAGTCTGCCACCACGGTGTCTTCGTCATCGTTTAGACTCGATAAGAACATGCATTTGCTATGGAAACTAATACAAATTTTATAATTTTTGTGTTAAATTTTAGTTTTAATTACTATCACTATTTTTCCACATAGCGTTCAAAATGGGATAAACCTTGCGAACATACAGCGCAGTACTTTACATAAAAATTGAAACCTTTCCATAGGAAAGGAGACC